TATCTCTAATAACATTCAGCTGTGATGTAGGTATCATATCTGGAATTTTTTTGTTTGCTTGGGTCGTAATAGTTTACTCTTTAGCAACTATCACAAACATCACCCCAAAACGTTCCAGCATCTCAAAACAAGAGCTCCAACGCATATTTACAGCCTGCGTTAAAGTTAAGACTTCGCCTTTTTTTCCAGATGCCTCTTGCTCAGCTCTTAAAAGATCCATAGCATTGGCAGACTGCTTGAAGTATGTGACAATGCTTTTTACATAGTTGCAAAAAAACGGAAAAAGCGCTATCGTTGCTCAAAGCACCATCAACTATTAAATGCAAACAATGCGCCATGCAAGGGATTCTTTTACGTTCTCTGATGTTTGACCCACTGTCAATAGTTGTAGAAACTATTTTGGTTTTTTCAATGCCAAACTCTTCGCATATCTTGATCCAACACTCTGAAAGGTATGCTCCTGTTTGGCTCTGAGACAAAGTACGTATAACTATATGAAACTGGAATGAAATCTTATAATTTAGTAAGTAAAGATTTCCATAAAATCATACCTGAAATAGTCTCTGTGCACACAAACTTGTGCTCTGAAGTAAAGATGATCCTGTTACATCCAGAGATGATACGAATTATGTTGTAACTAAAAACTATCCATCCGTCGGCATTCAGATAAGATGTATTGTGAATATAAAACAAGCTCAAATGACAAGAGGAGCTCGTACGTCGTTTACGTGTGTGCGTGTGTGTATCGGCTTTAAGGTGAATGCTTCATAATATGCTGACATAGAATACGGCCAGCCTCATTGTGAAATTGTGTATGCAGGAATGAATAGTTACTTGCTCATTAATTGTTTAATTTTGATAATGTATACTAATTTAAAATTTGTAACTCACACATTACTTTATTATATTCAAAATTGATTGTAAAATCCTCAGAAGGATTAATTTCGAAATTTGTAAACTTACTGTCACAATTGAACTTGTATTTGGCGTTCTTATATTGCTGATGCGAGCTTTCATCATCACTGACCTAAAACTTTAATCGCACTTGTCAGAAAATGCAATTGGTACTGTTGTATTATTATTTCTTAATATGTAAAATCATAACATGTAACATCATCATGCAACTGTCAACGCAGTCTGCAAGAACATCGCTCATTGGTTGACCTAATTTAACCAAAGGCCTCTTTTGCTCGCTCTGATGCTATAAAAACGCACCATCAAGTGGAAAAATCGCTCTCTTTACATCTGTCACCTGTCCTCTAAAGTTTTAGTCAACTCTTGACTCTCGCGACTTCTGAGTACCTTACACACGTAAGGCATAACGTGTTCGCTGAGGCAACTCGAGTACGTATCGAGAACATCAATAGTATCAGACTACGCTAAAGAGTGAGGTACAGCAAAGGAGGCCCGCCGAAAGTGATTCCGGCGATAGCAGAGATAGCAGAAATAGCAAAATCCTACTGTCCACGAACTTATTCGTGTAGTTTAAGAAAATACTGAAGGTTACTGCACGAAGCATTAGGGAACTCCGAAGCAGCAGTAACAACAATCAGTGATGGATGTAAGTTATTTATCAGTAATAAAATTTACGCTGAACTTTGTTAAAGTGACCCGATTAAATTGTATTTAAAAGAACAAATTATTATCAAATTGCTTTAATAAAGAAGTAAATACATTAATTAAAATTAACGATAATATTTAAATAAAGATTATTATTCAATACAAAAAGAACAAATAAAGCTTACGAGCTGAATCCTAAGAGACCCTCGAATGACACTTAAATAAAACAGCTAAGACCATACAAGTCTAAACAAGTCCGGTCATATTAATCTTACAGTTAAATCTATGAAATGCACTGTTAAAATTAAGAAACTTTTTGTTGAATTCGTGATAGTGAGGATGTCACTTGTAAAAGAAATAAATTTTGCCTCACTTAATTTTTTTTTTACAATAGCTTTAGTCGTGGCATATCTGCACTCTATTAGCTGTGTTACCTAAAAATGTAAAAGCAAAATTATCTAATGAGTATGATTTTACACTAGTATAAGATATGTATGGGAACATCAAAATTAATATTAATATAGACGTAGTGAATCAACGATCTTCTTTCTCGATGGCAGTTTGTAGAGAGGACAAGCTGTGCGAATAAATCTAATCATGCCAGATTTTTCAACACATGAATATGGTAGGTTATCCTTACATATCATGTAGACTAATGCCTGTGTAATACTGCTATGTCTATCTTCACCTTCTGAAAATTAATTTAAAATGTCAAAAGTAGTATTATTCAGCTACATTTACAAAACGAGCTAGCAGTTATAAAAATAACAATGACCTTCAAAGCTTGCGGTCCGTTTTAATCAATGCAACACTGTTGTTTGTTTTTTTTTTTACCAACAAGGTCTTTTAGCTACTGGCTCAGATTCAGAGTCTTGGGGATAAGTTGTGGTTTCCTGACTTTGATGGGGAACAATATTTGTAGCGGTAAATTGCATAGTAAACTGAAAATTACGAATAACGAAATAAATTAATATTTAAGGTTCTGTAGCATCATCAGAATTATAAAATTATACGTTTAAATGCTCACACTATTTATAGTAATGTTAGTATTTTTCTGCAGTAAAGCTTCTGAAGGAGCAGCAACATCTGGGACAAGAGCTAGTTGTAAATTTTGAGATTGTGGTATTGCTGTTGTAATAAGTGATTTTTATTTGTTTTGTTTATTTTCTAATTGTAAGAAAGTATGCTGATACTTCTGCTTCAAGTAAGTTGCTAAATTTGTAGTATTCACACTTGTTTTGTATTGAGGTTTGAATCTGAGGGATTCTCGAATATTTTATCGTAAGGTTAACACACAAGAATTGGAAGCGCTGAATTAATAGAAATAATCAATTTATTCTAAAACTTCCTATTTATTTTACACTTTTAACTTCCTAAATTCTATCAGGCTTACGACTAATATACTAAGCCATATAAATTTACTTAATGCCTGAACGCTGAGTGAGTTTATAGAGAGAATCAAACTGTTGTAATAGAACGAAAACTCCAACAAAAACGATAGAACGCTCGCTGGAATACAATAAGATAGATACAATTCACAAAACAAAAGTAAAACGAGACACTAGATTGACTATAGAGATCTCGCTTGAGGTGCGCGGGGGGCTCGACGGTCAGAAGCGGACTGACGAGCGCGCATTGTCTCTCGACGAGAGAGCCGCAGCTCTCTTTACAGGCAAGTCTAATTGGTCAGAGAGACACGACGAGTTGGACTCTCATTAGCGCACATTGATGTCAGCTCAACCTGTGAATACTAAGCATTAAGCGCGCCTATATTTAAACTCAATACCGAACAACACTAGTTTTATGTATTTTCCCACACAGATTACAAACTACCGGCTCAGTGTTGTCTTTTTTTGTGAAAAAATTCCACACCATAGACATAGTTTTTTCAAGTAAATTGAACCTCAAGCATCAACCGAATACTATATAAGTAAACTCATCACACAAAAGTATAAATCTGTTTACAGAGTGATCATGCAGCCTGGAAACAACAGAAAAACATCATGCAATGCAAAGAAGAAAATGAATAGCACACGTATATACGAGTAATATCTGCTACTTACATGAAAACAATACTTCTATGATCGCTGATACACGATGTGTATAGGTGAATGCGGGACGTATACCCAACACACGTGGCAAATGTATTAGACAACTACACAGCACTTCTCTTTGCATATATAGAGGAGAGAGAACTCGCAAAGAAGTATAACAGCAGACAATTTAGCCTACACTTGACCAAAGAACGCTCGTTCTAAGGCTACGTATACACTATACACGCCACAGAAAATTTAATGGCAGAATTTCAGTTGGCCAACCAGAGCAAAGCTCTCCGTGTATATAGTTATAAAAAAACTCTGTCTTGCCAAATTCCGCGGCAAAAGTTAGTACTTATTAAAAACTATTGTTTTCGAAATCACTAAAAACATGTCGATGTATGATATGTCGTCGGAAAGTAATATCGGCCTGATACATCGATATATCGATCAAAATATATCGGTGTTTCCGATGTATCGACATATTTTGCCTATCCATAGCCTAAAAATACAGTTGGCACAAACACTTTGATGAGTTCCGCTAACGATCTAAAACACTTTCTAATTAAAACCGAAATTTAAAAAACTTTTTTTTTCTGCGAACTACAAGTTACATTTTCATCAAATGTCAAAATTTTATGTTATGTTGAAAAAAAATATCAACTAATTTAAAAAACGATCGCTTATATTAAATGAATTGTTGATATAATTGTTATTTCTTTGTAGTCTGTCTACGAACTTGCAACGTATACCACATCACATCAATTATTACACATTTATTGTACCTGCAACATTGTATTTTAACTTTTTTTTCATTCAAATTAATTTTTTTTCTTCTAGTAAAGAACCTTTTCAAATTATAAATCAAAAGATCACAACCATATCTACAACTTTTAGGTGTAACTTTTTTCCTCAAACTCAATATTTTTTGTTATCAGAAATGCGTTTACTTAGATTTACGAATTTTTTTGGTGAACTTTATTATAGGAAGTTAAACAAAAAACGCTACTTTTCTTGGATAGTATTCTTTTTAATCTGGCATTTTCTTAGACTTCTAACTATTAGCCTTGGGTAATCTCTAGATACTTTTAGACGAATTAAATTATTAATAAACAGTTACTTGCATAGCTTATGTTTTTGTGAAGTACTTAACCCCTTATAGATATACAAATAAAAACTTAAGACAAAATCTAGTAGTCGTAAATCATGAAGAGAGACCGATAATTTTTCGTCTTGGGTATATCCACACCATTTATTATTTTAGTGAACCTGTTGCCACAAATGTTGATATGCGATCATTCCCGTTCTCAGTCCTAGAAGGTTAAAAACTTACATAGTTGATAGATTTCTAGATTTTTTACATGTTGAATTAAGAATTATATGCTAATTTTTTATATATTTCAGAGGTAAAAATAGCTAACCATACGACCGAATTTGTTAACCAGGTGTTGGACAAAGTCAAATCTGGTATGCCCAATGGAGGAATGGATGATTTTTAAAATACAAAATGAAGAATACGATGAATTTCAGTTATTATTGTATAGATATATCTTATAATAGTGAATATTTAAGTTATTTGGATTATTAAAATAATCTATAGCTATTTATACGACATCGATAACTAATTGTACAACATCTGGTTTCTAAATATCAGTATGTATTTAAAGTTTCTGTAAGCTATTCTAATTATTTAAGACAGTTTTGTAAATTTCTTTAAAATAAGTACACAATAATTGTAAAAAGTTTTTTTATAAAGCTTAAATTATAAAAAAATGTAATTCATGTGTTATATTTGTATGAAAATATTATATATTCCATCAACGAACGTGATATTTGTAGTTAAAAGTCTAATACTTGTATATAATGTAATAAATCATTCATTTCTGTATTATAATAGAACTGATGAGTTTAATCTTTCATGCAATAAATTTGCTAAACTTATATCGTTGAACTACTATATTTTATACTATAAAGATAAAAAACGAAAACTTCCCTAAGAATGGCTGTAACAAAAAATTTTGTAGATGGCATCAACACACGCGTTCCAACATACATACATACCACATATAAGATATAATCGGCTGCATCGTTTCACGTTTTAAAGTAGGATTCCTTCTAGTAGGTTGATGTTGGAAAAAAATTTTTGCTCTCGCTATAAAAAATAATTGATATTACCTAGAAAAATAAAAAAATGTAAGTGATGTCAGAAGACTCCTGAATAAGGTGACGGTAATTCGTATTTTAGTAAAAGTTTTAATCTTCAAATGTCGTACATTGAAGTTATAGTTTTAATTTACAAAATAATGGGAATTTTCATTGCTTGTATTTAATTTAATCTATGTCAGTATTTTTAAACCATGTACTTGATGACTACCGCATTTATCTAAACTTTAGTACCTGCTACGAAAGCGTGACGACAACATTATGTTGGACTAGCACAAGATATAGCCTTTTCAAACTAGATACTATTTTAGTAGATACTAGATATTAAAACTCTAGTGCCACTCAGTCTCAGAGTTACCCCAGTTCAAGCTCGAAAGATACAATATTTTAAGAAACAAGAATCTAGTGAGTTTCAAAGACTTTTATCCCTAAAATCAGGCCAAGTTTTGAACGCCCTACCAAGAAACGACATAGATCCTCCCGCTGTCAAAAACTCTAGGAAAAAGAAATGAAAGTCTGATCGAAGTTGTGTCTCGTAAAAATAATGAAATGGATCAGTCACGTAAAACTCTCTTAAACCTACTTAAAGATAGTTAATTGAAAAATTATTTTTTTAGATCACTAAGTAAACTTAAGAGGCAATCCCAAGTTGGTGATAACATTAAAGGGCCCTCTCCAAATATTGTGAACAGTTTCCGTGGGAGAGGGGTTGAATTGAATCATATGGATGTTAACGCTGGGGAAGGGAGCAAGGAATCAAGTTTACGTGTAACAAAACACTTATCATTTTTATTTCTAAATATAAGTTTTTATTTTATTTCTGTAAAAATGTAAAGGTTTAAGAAATTTGTACTATTTTTACCACGGTCAATGTTATAAGCCTGATTGAAAAAATTGTCACTTTAACACAATAAAAACATTTAAATAAATCCAATATAAAATAGTTGTTCAGCAATAGATTCATTACTAATAAATCGCTTTAAAAAATGTAGAAAAAAAAGTAAGTCAACGTATCTTCTCTAAAGGAAGAAGAGGTGAATTTTTCATTTACATAAAGTCCATGCAGGTAAAGGGGGATTAAAAAATCGAAAACATCGATCATCGTATAACACACGACCCCTAAGTTTAACGACTTGTTAAGTCAGGCAGAAGATTAACTAAACGAGGGACTAAAAAAAGCTAGATACCAGCATTTATTCGTAAAAAATAATTAAATAAATTCAATGAATTATCACCCTTCAATTTGTCATGTAAAATACAGCATCAGTACACCCTTAAATTAGTATACGGGAATTGAAAAAGTTTTAGAATTAAAAACTAAAATTTTCACTTCCTGCAAAGACTGTGACATTCTAATTTATTTTCAATTCTCGTTGAATTCTGGGTACAATGCACTGATAACGTTTAACTTTCACAATTTGTATCTTACAGAATGGATAGAAGTCATAAAAATAGAGGAAAAATTTTGGTACTTACTTGAAAAAATTTGAGTTTTTGAAAACTGTTGAAGGTAACTCTATTTGCAAATCTACTCAGTTACAAAGTCTACAATTTAATTCAATTTCCCTCCGTTTGAACTTTTTATTTGTTACAGAGGCCTTTATTGTATCTTAAGTCATATTCAGTGGAATTCATTATTTAATAAGATTTCGTATGCTGAATCTGATATTTATAATAATGACTTTAATGCACATAATCTTTTCTAGAAGTTGATATGAATGGGATCATTCTTAAAATTTTTTTTGATTTTTTTGACTTGTATATACGCAACACCTTCCTACAATCACATATAAGCCAGAGGAGAAGAGAGGATTTTAACGATGATCTCGTTCTCTCTTCTATGTAACGGTTTTGCATAATTTATTTTTGAAATATTTGATAGTAGTATTTTCCTCTATTTATATCATCAAAAATAGTAGAAGCCTAAAATCCAGAGGATAAATTAAATTTTCTGCTGTAAACTTATACTCGAATGAAAATCAATACTCTACAGACTTTTCTACGTGTTTACTTATTTTGTTTATTTAAAGGTTGTTATTAGTAAAAATAAATTTACTTTACGTATACATCACTGCTTGTGCCACATATTGTCGAATTTTTGCACAAAAAGTGTATAAAAGGATACGTAGCAGTCAACTCATGGCTGCCGAATAGAGCGCTTCTCTATCAGCTTAAGCATTTTAGTGTGGCTTGTGGATTTCTTGTTTACCCGCTTACCCGATCTTTGCAATGTCAATTCGCAATAAAGACCTTTATAAATCAGAATGTTCAAGGCGTGTTCGGCAATGTTAGTTATTCAACCGTACATAAAAACTTAGCGAAGCTTAGATTTCTAAAGAATTAAGCTTTATGCTTTTATTCATTAATACGAGAAAATTTTTTTTCTCCAAGATTAACATTGTCCTCCCTCGATTCACTTGAAAATAGGTAATTTTAATTTAAGTGCCTTATTTTATACCATTGCTTTTTAAAATATAGTGTTATATCTATTTAGCAATATAAAGTCTTGCAGTTTGCTGATCATCCAGCCCTTTATATAAAGTTATATAGTGCACCTATTTCAAAAGAAAATGAGACGTAGTAACTTAGTGTCAGGAGGTTTTTGATTGTAGAGCGGCCCTCAGTAAATCCATGTTGATGTAGTGTGATAGAAGATGAGAGAGGTGCTGAAAGTCTTTTGTGAGTTAATTGATCATATGTAGGACGGTTACCAAACCTTTGGAAAGAAGCCCTCAGCAAAGGATTTAGTGAAAAGAAGTGCAATAGGATGACTAAAACCTGAAGAACAGTTGATAATGAAAGAGGGTGGGAGTAAGTCTGGGTCGAGATGAGTAGATTTTTTCAATTGTGTGATTGCAGTAAGTATAGTTGATGGGAAAAAAGTGAGATCTATGTTTAAGGAGCACTGGATAGCCGGGGCCGGGATGGAGGTGGGTTGTTTGTATACAGAAGAAAAGTGGCTAGCGAGCAAGTTGTACTTATCGAGAGGAGTAAAAGTGAGGTCCGAGTTTAAACTTAACACCTCCGAAAGCTGATTGCATTTTGAGCGAGCCTTGATAAAGTTCCAAAATTGTCGAATATCAGTCCTCAGTCCCAACTCCGACCTAGATATGAATCCCTTGTATAATGTTTTTGAAAGTCATAGGCATTCAGCTCTGAGTCTCTTAAATATAATTAAGTCTTGAAGTAAACCAGTGTGCTGGTTTGCCAGTAAAGCTACAAAGCTCAGAGTATGCTGATAGAGCAGAGCTAGGTGGTATATAAACAGCTATTAAAATAAAGTTCATTGCAGCACCTCGTAGTTGTACTACCACACACTCAATGTTCATTTCGAGAACTATACGGTTTGATGAAACGTTTCTGTCTACTGCAACCAAGACACCGCTACCACGTCTATTACCCTGTTCAACTAGTTGTATGTCCTGTCTATAGATGTTATAATTGAGTAATGGTAACTTGGAGTCCAAAGTGTGTGATTTCAGCCATGTTTCTGTAAAAATTATAAGGCCTGAAGTAGAAGTAAGCGAGAATAAATTAATTTCCAATATAAAGAGCTTGTTATAAAGAGATCCAACATTTTGGTAATAAATTAATATGTTTAGATTGTTAGTACTATTGAGGGTTTGAGTTTGCATGAAAGGACTGTTGATCTTCAATAATAGGTGGGGTGCCTCTGACATATTTTACTCTCTTCTTAACGGCTGGGTTAGTTGAATTATGACGTTTAACTTCATCAACAAAGCGAGAGAGATGCGCTCGCTGTGCCTTGGTTTTGTCAGGGGAAACACTGATATCCTGTGACAGTTTAGAGCGTTGCGAGATCAAACGCATAACTTCAACTTTGCTGCTCAGAGAGATAAGCAAGGGCCTAGGTTTGGCTGCAGAGAGAAATTTGCCTAGACGAACTAACTGGTTAATGTCGGGGATACTGACAGTTGACAGCATATTCCTTGCAGATACCTCACTTCTAGCACACTGACCAGACCCAGCTGAGGACTCAGGAACATTGTAAAGAATGGCATTTGAAGACCTCTTAAGCCTGTCCTCCATTTCTGTCGCAAAATTATCTAGAGCTGCTTCATTAGATAGAGAAAAGCGGCCCTCAACTGCGGCAAGCCTGTCCTGGACCTCTTTGAGAGTCTGAGGAGTAAGCGAGGATTGTTCTAAGGTCTCAAGCCTTCTATTTATGTCTAGCATAGAGGCTGGTAAAGATTGAAGCATTTTCATGCTTTCGTTCAATTTATCCACCTGAGCCTTGATAGAGGTGTTACTTGCATCTACTTTATTTTCAAGTTCAGTGATTTTAGAAAGCAGGGAGTTCATTAGATTCTTTATGTCATCAAGCGTAGTACCCTCAACAGTGTGCACATGTGACATGTCTGCAGAAGTAGATAAACTGTCGGTAGCGGAAAGGGAACTCTGGGAGTCAGAGTGCTGCTTTTTTGATTGTTGAAGAACTGGAGGTGAACTGTCAGAGGGTAAGTAAATATCCTTGCAGCAACGGTATATTTCCTGGGTTTCAGTCGCAGAACGAACCGCACAAGAAGCGTGATATGCCCTGTTACAGTTGCGACAGCGGGACCCAGTGTTCAC